GTAGAAAATTGCTATTTTGTGGAATACCATGAACTCGAGAATCTCGATCTCAAACAGATTCTTACCCTGCAAGTGATTCAGAGCTCCTCGAAAATCTTCAGAATCTGGGATGGCATAATTCAAACCTTGTCCTACGCTGAATTTGACCACCCTGACGTTGAAATCCCAGATTTTAAAAACATACTTGTCGTCGGAGGAACTGGTGGGCTTGCAAGAAGCTTTATCCGGGCCCTACACAAAGACAGAAACTTTGTAATATGGTCCCGAACTGCTACAAAACACGCCGCACTTGGAAATCTGCTTGATGAGCTCGAAATGCACGGAAGAACCGAGCTTCGAAATATAGAAATTGAAGACGCTGCCCAAGTCAACTTAGCCATTCACAACTTGGTTTCATCAAATTTTCACCCGGATTTGATACTCTACTGCGCTGGGGTTGGACCTAGTCCGAATCTAGAGAAAAAGCTGGCCGAATCAATGTCCGTGATAAAACCTAAAGTTTTGGGACTTCAAAACCTAATCGAAGCCTTGAAGCTAAGCCAGGTCAAAGCCCAGAAGCTCATTATTGCCTCGTCTTTATCGTCTGTCCTCAGCCTGCAAGGTACGCAAGAGTACGCATCGGCAAATTTGTACTGTGACGCGCTGGCACTCAGTGATTCCGAAGTTTTTGACGAAATTCTAAGTATACAGTGGCCATCGTGGAAAGGAATCGGAATGAGCAGCAAATTGGCTAGTGGCGCTGAAAATCTACTTGAAGGGGGCTCAATCTCAGCCAAGGAAGGAGCAGCAATGTTCCTAAAAGCTCTAGGTATGCGTGGTTGCGTCGCGGTCACAAAAGTCGACCCATTTCGGCTACGTTATAAACTTGTTGACGCATTGATCGGGCCGAAGAACCACGAGATAAACGCTACCGACCAACCTCTGGAAAAACTTAAAGCTATTTGGATAAAAACCCTATCACTGAAGATATTAGAAGACGATACAAATTTCTTCACAAGTGGAGGACATTCTTTATTAGCTCTTCAGCTAGTCTGGGCGATACGCGACAATTTAGATATCGTAATCAATGAAGCCCAAGTGCTGGCCAAGCCCAGATTCAAGGAGTTTGCTGAATTTCTGTTTTCCCAAGCCGAAACCTCAAAGAATCACGACGTTGCCATCACAAAACTCGACAAAACCGCTAGATTACCACTTACCTTTCCCCAAGAAAACATGTACCTGCTCTATGAGCTCAAATTCGGGTCGAAGTATAATATCGTATTTACCGTCAACTTTGACTTAGCTAAAATCAACGAAAAACGGCTGAATTTTGCCCTCCAAAGGTTGGTAGCTGAACAAGAAGGCTTGAGAACAATTTTTAAGCGAGATGAGGCGGGAATGTACCAAGAAGTTTTATCGCTAACTGAGTCGTACCACGAAATCCAGCGTCCTCAACAAGTCCAGCTAGACACCGAGGCCATGATCAACTACAAATTCGAGTTGTCGGATTGTTGTATGTTAATAAGGCCAAAGCAAGAGGGTAGCATACTACAACTCACATTTTCGCAACATCACATAATTACTGATGGGTGGTCAATGACCGTATTGGCGCGTACTCTCAGCGATTGCTATAACAGTTCTGATAAAAAGAAACGTAGGACGGAAAGAATTGCAATTGCCGATTATGCCGAATTGACAAGGGGCCACGATTTCACAAGCGATCTTGAGGAAATGTCAAAGAAAATTGATCCAACGATCAATACGGCTCTAACGGCCATAAAACATGAGCCGCAAAACGATAAAGAAATAAAGTTTCTAAGAACTGAATATTACTTACCTCAGAAAGTTCATAAATACATCAGTGAAATGGCCAAATCCTCTGAAACCACAGAATACATTGTCATGGTGGCTGCCCTAGCAAAAGTTCTCCGAAAATGGCAAGACGAGGATCAGGATCAGGTTGTAATTGGGAGTCCCGTGTCTGGAAGAAAACAAGTTGAAGTCCAAGATCTTATTGGATATTTTTTGAACAACATCGTCATTTGTATGGAGGTGAAACTTGACGATGCCCTAGAAGAACTGATTCTAAAAGCGAAGATTGCTGTAGCAGAGGCCATGCAATACGAAAATATACCATTTCATATTCTGGTGCAAAAGCTGAAGGTCCCTCGAAGTGGACGGCATCCGCTCTTCAATGTTTACTTTAATTTCAGGTATTTTTATCAAAAAAAAAAATTTTCAAATTTGGATTACGGTCGTTACTAAAATCTAAGTTTTTAAATACCGTAGTCCATCAGAAAAGAGCGAAAATTCCGGGCCAGCTCTGCTACCGCTTTTAGTTTATAGCTTTTTAGATTTTGACATTTGCGCAATTACAGTAATACGCGCTGCTCGATAAACTCGAAATTCCGTTCGAAAAATCATTTGGGCATTTACGTAACGTACCGCATTTTTTCAGTAACTTTTAAATATTTTTTTCAATTAAGTTTAGCCAGTTAAAGAGGCTGCCGTAACTGACAGTGCTTTTCAGGCACCAGCTCGATTTCCCCCGTGTACAGCTCGGTGACGCCGAATGCTCAGTAGAACACAACTCGATGAACTCGGTCTTCGATCTCTCAATGACGGTGGATGATACTCCGCAGGGATATCGGCTATTAATGGAACACAATCTTACCGCACACCCTGAAGCGATGATCAGCAACTTGAGGAAGGAGTTTATCAACTCTTTCAAAGAGCAAAGACAAGGACGGATACAGATTCCCCGCTTTAAAGGACACAGCCAAGAATTTCCAAGGCACAGCACTACGGAAATTTTTGAAAAGCAGTTGCTAAAAACCCGGGAAAACCCGACGATCAAGTTCAACAAGTCAGGGAGTGCATTAAGCTACCAAGACTTGCATAAAGTTGCCAATTTCCAAGCCCAATTTATTAATCGTCAAATCTGGATGGAACGCGGGGTCCCACCGCGGCCAGATACCGTATGCTTCATCAAAGCCAATATGAATCAGGCCGTCATTACGAGTCTTGCCGTAGCGATGCTGGGGATGGCTTATGCTCCCGTGGATCCGATCACGAGCCAAAAAAGGCTGGCCTCAATGATAGAAAAGTGCAGTGGATCTATTAACGTATCATCAGATACCACAGAACTTGAAAATGGCAAAACTATGAAGAACAACTTCCAAAAATCCATAACTACCGACCTACTGTATATTATTCATACAAGTGGCTCGACCGGAACCCCAAAAGCTGTCCCAATTTCCCATAAGAATTATTCCTGTTTTATTACGGGAGCTACAAAAGATGTATTTTTACGTTCTGGTCAAAGAATTGCACACTCCGTTAATACCGTATTCGACATGAGCAAGCTGAATTATTGGGGAGCGTGGCTGAACGGTGCCAGCTTAATCTGCGAGGAAAATATTTTGGACCACCCGATTTCGGCTTCAAACGGGAATATCGATCTTTTATTCCTACCATCAGCTGTGTATAATTCTATTCCAAATGGTACCTTAAAAGGTATATCTGAAAATGTTGAGATCCTGATCGCTGGAGGGGAGTCTGTTTCCGAAAATCAGCTCGACAAATCGTTAAAATCAGGCCAGAATTTTTATCAGATCTATGGACCGTCAGAATGTACAATCTGGTCTTCGATAAATCGCTGTAAAATTGGCGAAAGTTGTGGAACGTTGCTAGGAAATATCGTGGCTAACGAAACCGGCTTTATCGCAAGAGGAAATTTCGGAACAGTCCTATCAATCTTCCAAAAAGGAGAGCTCGTCCTTAAGGGACCAAAGGTATCTAGAGGGTACGTTAACGACCCGGAGAAATCGAGGGTATTTCGGAACGGAGCGTACACGACTGGCGATCTAGTACTAGCATTTCCTAACCACAAACTACGATATTTTTCACGAAATGACCGCCAAATAAAAATGAATGGAATCCGGATCGACCCATACCAAATTGAGCAAACAGTAGTTCAAGCGATACCTGGGGCTACGGTAGCGGTGGTCCAGAAACAAGGCAACAGTCTTATTTGTTTCATCGATCAAGAAGCGCTGCCTAAAAACCTAAACATTGCCCTGGCTACCGTACTCCAGCCCGCCGCAATTCCATCTGTGTTTTTGGCTTTGGCTGAAATACCAAAAAATGCAAACGGAAAGGTGGATTCTCATGCTCTAAAAAAGATCTATGAAGATCTCAAAATTAACAAAAGCGAGGATACTATAGAAATAACAACTGACGAAATGGAAAATACAGTTCTTACCGTAGCCAGCGAAATTCTGGACTCGAAAGTCAACCTGAATTCCAATTTTTTCGAGGCTGGAGGCCACTCCTTATTGGTGTTAAGGTATGCCGATGCCTTAACCGAAAAGCTGAGAATTACCGTAGGCCACCAGGATATATTCAAATTCCCAAAATTCCGAGATTTGGCTAAATTCTTAAAGATCTGTAAAAACGGGAGAACGGAAGACCTGACGATAATTACGGCGCTTCGAGAAGTGAAAAATCCGCGATATAACGTTTATGCCATCCATGCGATTGGCGGATCGATATTCCCGTATTTTGTACTTTTGCGGATATTCCCGGAAGATGTTTCGGTGTACGCTATAGACTACAAGATCAGCTATCCGGCCCAGACGTTTGATGAGCTGTCGGATTTATATACGGAGAAGGTAATTTTGGTGTTTGCGTCTAAAAATTACACTTTTCAATCATTTAAATTTTTTTGGACAAATTTAGATTTTGTAGGAAAAAAAATTAAAAATCTTCCTTAAGACTGAATCGTAGCCGTATTTTTTTCAGGATTTCTTTTTGTACGCGCCGGCTAAGATTTCCTCAAAAATCTTTGCTCGTCCCCCAGACGCATTTTTCCAGATCTTTGACCACACTGGCCCGGTGCGCCCCGTTATTCTGGGCCATTCGCTCGGCGGGACCCTATCCCGGGAGGTGATTATGCGGCTGAACAGACGTGGCCACCAGGTGATCGCTGGATTTCAGAGAAAAACGAAATGTTTTAGATAATGGATGTGGTGATGCTGGACACTTGGAAGGTTGCCAAGCGAGCGTTGAAGACGAGCGATGTTACGGACTTTATTCAGGTATTCTGCAGTAACGAATTGTTTTAACAATCTAATTATTTCCTGAAATTCCCAATTTCAGGAAACATTCAAAGGTGTCCCAAATATTGACGCCGTCGTCCAGCGAGCCCAGCGGCTCTCAGGTACTTTACTAAACAATAAAAATAAGCATTCTCCCACGCTCCACGCCCACAATTATCGTAAATATTTTCGCGGAAATGGTTTTTTCTTAAGCGACCATGATATGTCTTTTTTGGCGACCCGGAAAGCCGAAATAACAAAATCGTTGTGTTTCAGACCTAATTCGCGAACATGACTATACGAAAAATGGACTCCGAATTCACTTGTTCAAAGCCCAAATCCTGGGAATGTCTGCGCTGAAAAATTCGGTCAGGTTGGTGGTTTTTAACTGTTGGAAAGTGGATTTTGAGGTCTGACTTGTCAGAGGAAATGGTCCGAGCGATGCGGTCGAATGGGTTGCAGCAACTGTCAAGTCACAAAGTTCAGGTTGGATCATTCAAATACTAGCGAGAGAGAGAGAGAGAGAAAGAGAGCGAGAGGCGAGAGAGCATTTGAATAGTTACATTTTACTTTCAAAAAGGTGTACTTTGACTGTTCAAGCAGACCTTGATTTAATTTTTACTAATAGCGGTTACTAAGCAACCTGAGAAAAGCGTTATATTTACGAAAATGCCTAAAAATTTACATTTTTCGATAATGAAACATTTTCCTTTCCACGAAAAACCAAATATGGAAGGCGTAAAAGCGAGAACTTGCATTTTTCAGGTCCACATCGTACCCGGAAATCACGAATCGATGATGGCCGGAGAGAACCTGTTGACCGTTCGCGACGCTATTTTGCGTGTTGCTGAATCTACATAAAGATCCTATCTCAAAAATTTATTGCACAAAAATCATCACCGTTACCCGGATATTATAGGACACGATTTGCACGACCAAGCATTTTGAAGGGAAGCAAAACATTAGAGATCACAATGGGCAATTTTTCGGGATCTAGAAACTAAAAAGATATTTTGTAATCGGTAAAATCTTAGAAATAGAAGAGTTCCCGCTAGTAGTTAGCTACCAGATTCATCTGTTTTTAGGTTGAGATCCAGAGAGACAAAAAAATACACAGAGAAAAACCACGTAACGACGCCAATACTACGCAATTGGGGGATGGGTGCTGTGAGTTTCGGTAGCTTCAAAAGTCACGGAGATACTCTTGCAAGCATCTTCCGAATACCGCCTGCCGATCATTTTCTGGAGCTTTTCGTGGAAGGGGCGGATGGTGAATGATAGGTGGAGGGGTGAGAAGCAGAAGTAGACGGCCAGGGCGACGGGTAGAAATCTGGACCAAAGTGGTTCGAGTTGAGGGAAGAGCCGGGAGAGCCAGGTACTGCCGGAGAGGCAGAGGCCGAGCAGGAGGTTGTGCCAGACGATTGACTGAAAAAAAAGTTAGGTTGTAAAAGTTTTTCGGGAGGTTGGGGGCGGGATAGCGCGAGAAAGAGATAGAGAGCGAGCGCCAGAGAGAGAGGGAGGGAGGGAGGGAGGGAGGGAGAGAGAGTGAGGAAGAGCGAGACAACGGGGATGAGGGGCAATGAAAGACAAAAGGGAGAGAGGAAGAAGAGACAGGTCGAACGTGAGAGAGAGAGAGAGAGAGAGAGAGAGAGAGAGAGAGATAGCAGAGAGAGAGGAAGAGAAAGGGAGAAGAACGAGAGCGAGAGAAAGAAAGAAAGATAAAGAGAGAGAGGAGCGAGTGAAAGAGAAAGCAAATTCTGCTCATTTTTCGGCCTATTGCTCACCTCAGCCATCTTTTTGCAAATCAGCACCCGATGGACGTAACCCAACGAGATGTCCCTCGAGAAAACCAACGCATTAGCGGCAAAATTCAAAAACACCCCGAGAACGCCCCAACAGAGCGGTAGATACAGTGATGCTTCAGAAGTTAGGAAGGTCCTGAAAAAATCTTAGTATTTTACGGTTTGTGTCTACATCCGAGGCCTTCTCTGCCTTCCAAATCCCTTGAATATCAAATAACAAGGATTTATTAAGTTTTCCACTTTCTCAAAAACTTCCTAGCGTTCCAATTTCCGAGCCCAGACTGCCATTCGGTCACTAAACATCACTAGTATCACTGGACTATTCCCGGAGCGTTACGACGTTAATTCCCTGGGAACCGTAAAGCTACAACTTTCCCGTACCACCCTATTTTTCTGCTCGGCATGGGCAAGGGCTTTTCCCGGGTTTTTGACCCCCCGGCTACAATTCCAATGCCTAGAAATGCTACCCACCAGAAATTGGTGGGTACGAAGCGACGCAGGATGACGGTCTCGGTGCCGGATTGGTACGACAGTTCTTCCGTGTCCATAGAGCACAAGGAGATCTGAAAATCAAGGAGATTGGAAGGTTTAAAGATCACAGCATATATTTTTGTTTTGGATTGGATTAGGTGGTTCCGGAAAGCGCCTGTTACCGGAAATTGGAACTTATAAGGAAGACGACTTTGACATTGACGTAATCCGTAAATTTTGTGGTTTAAAGGGACTCGAAAATCATGATTAGGGTTTTTGGTGTGGAATCTCCATCGATTTTCCGCGCCCGCGACACGCAACGCCGCTTTTCATCTCGTACTGGAATCCAACAACTTCAGCAAGGTCAAATCTCGCGGGTTGCGTCCCACGGGGAAGTTATGCAACCGAAATTTTTGGGGCCGATAGCTAGTGAGAAGAGAAGACGAGGAAACAGAAAATGTACCATCGTTTTTGGCCTTTTTTAAAATGAAACCTCTTAAAACTAACCAGCAACCCCAGCGGTACCGTGAAGTACAGGCCGAGCACCGTAACGCCGGCTATCCGATTGGTGAAGTGAAGACCTTTTAGGGCAAGGAAACGAATCAGGATGATGTAGAGGAGGATTAGGGAAGAGTAGTGGAGTAGATGAACTGGCATGGCGAAGCTGCCACCGCGCAGAATCGGGAGTTGGGATGAGAAGGCGTGCTCGGTGCGGAGGGTCCATAACCTGGAAATAGTTTAATTAGAGAAATTTTTGCATATTTTTTGATTTGTTAGTTTTGTTCAAGTGCTTCCGCGTTTTTGAGGGACTTAAATTATATTATAAGGTATAGAACTGAATTTTTATCAAAGCTACTAAAAAATTGCCTTTCATTAGCTCTTTTCTTTTAGTTAGTTTGGCTATTTTTCAAATTTTCCGCATTCTACAAGCCAGACAAGAAGCCGCCATTTTAAGCCAAATCCCAAGGTGGGGTGGGGGCAGCTGATTTCATTTAGCCTTACATATGGAATTGTCTTTTTGGGGTGAGAGGAGAGAGAAAAAGAGAGAACTAGAGGAGAGATAGAGCGAGAGTGAGAAAGGGCGAAAAGCAAAAACTTTACCTGGGCTGTGAAATGGCGACGATGACGGCCAGGAGGAGGTTGAGGAGGGTGTACAGCGTTAGTACCGTTGAATAGACCTGAAAATTACAATTTTTGATTTGATTTTATTCTGGTGAACGTCTAAGGAGACATTGAGGGCAAAATCTATATAGTATTGTAGATATAAGTAAATTTTTCAAATCCTACGCGCTTTTATTCGCTTCCAAATGCTTTTCTAGGACAAGCTCGATCTTAGACTAGCCATCAAAGTTGATTTGAAAGCTAAAAATTAATTTTTTTTAGATTTTTCTACAGACCTTGATGAATTTCGGTGATGATGTCGTGATCAGCATCAAAAACAGACTGGACGTGAGCAGGGTGGGAAGGAGCAGCACGTACGGGACGTATTCAAGCCATCGAAATACGTCGTCCATCAATCTAAACATTAAAAATAATATAAATTGTCAGCATTTTATTAATCAAGCGTCAAAAAGAGGACGCTTTAAGTGATTAAATAACATTTTACAGC